GGATTGGCGATGATCGCTCGGTATTTGCTACGAAAGACCAAGCAAACCAGCTATCTCACGACCTATGCAGAGTCCTTCGACACAAGATCGGCAGCTGCCGAGGAAGTGCTTTCAGGTGCGACGAAGGTGGATGGGTCGACATTGATGCAGTCATTGACGACCGGAACAACGACATATTCCCACCAGGCACCTCGAGAGCGAAGCGATACATGGGCATCATGGAGGTGATCAAGTGGCAGGAATCTGGAAGCAAGAAATCGAGATTTCAGGTCCTGGCAGCAAGGTTTCCAAGCATCATGAACCCGAACGACACCAGGGCGGCCAGGGAGGAAATGACCAAAGCTGGCATGGATCGGGACGACATCGACAGGATGTTCAACAGATGCGATGGATGGTACAGACCTTGGTGCATCCGAGTCACAACTGGTCACAGTGATTTTGGATTCATGAGCTCATCCGCACTGGCAAATAGGTATTCCGCAAGGATGGGTGATTCTCTCGGAGGAGCATTCCATGTGACGTATGTGGAAAATCTGCCAAGCATCGTACGCTGTGGGTTAGTCCCCGGCGGAATCGATGGCGGTAACAGGCTAGCACTGCACTTCGGAGCGTTCGCTCCATGGGATGAGATGAACGTGGCAACGAAGGTGACGCTGCGGAACGTAAGGAAGGGGGACCCGATTGCGATCATCTACATTCCCAGTGCAACCCTCGCGCGGTATGGAGCTGGAGTCGCGGCAAATGGGACTTTCATGGTCTTTGACGTGGTCCCGTTCTATGAGGTCAAGTCCATTTGGATTGGCAAAAGCAACGGAGGGAAACGCCTGGAGTACGTTGATGTCAAGAGAGCGTACTCGAAGTGTGTGGAGAACGAGATCTGCCCTGGCTTCGTCAACTCATCCCAAGAGTCGGCTGCGATGTTCCTCCAGAACGTCACAAAGATCAGCGAGAGGATGCCCGAGACCGAGACAGGTGCCGATAATCTGCACTACATCAGGGACATGGTTGATCGTGCGTGCGAACTCTATCGGAACAGCAAGATGGAGGAGTTCAACGCGCAGGTCAACGAGGTCAGGGACGAAATCAGCAAAGTCGTCATCCTGAATGATGAGACATGGGAAGGACTGAGATGCCGGATATGTCCATCATGTGCGACCGCGATCCCCACCTGCTTCTGCTTATGCCTGGAATGCGAGGCGCAACTGATCTCCACCGGGAGGTACTACATCCACGTCAACTCCGACGACGAGGAGGACAATCAAAACCCCAACGTCTCGGGAGATGCCAAGCGCGCACAGGAAGAAGCCAACCACGATGCGGCGGCACAGGAGGATGATGACGAAGCGGAGGAAGTTCCAGGAGAAGAAGACGACATGGACACGCAAGGATATACATCCGGATATGCGTCAGAAGAGGATGACAGCGGTTGGTATTACCGCGACACTGATCTGACGTCACGGGATATCATAAATTCCCAGCGGATGGCGATCTGCCTTGACGAGCCGCGTGAGGCTCAGTACATGGCAGGGTTTATCGCACTCCAGATGTCCAAGATGTGGGGGATGTTCGAGGGTGGTGAGGAGAGAACGATGAATGCCCAACTCGAGGGGAGACCGGGCTGCCCTTACCACAATGACTTCAAGAGATACCCCAACATGACTGAGCATGATCAGGAAGGTATACTTTTGCCATCAACAATAACGAAGATTTCTCAATCGGAGAATGTTCGGACAAGAGCCTTCCGATCGGTTGAGGAGCGTGACGAATATATTCGTATGATGGTGTGCAAATGCGAGGGACTATACACATTCTACAAGCTGTGGATTGCAGCGAGAATCCTCGATGTCACCAAGGACGAAATGAAGCTCCTGGTCAAGGACCGAGTGCACCCGGTAGGTGATATTATTTTCAGATGCTTTGCACTGGCTTTCAACTGTAAGTATATATCATTCGTGAGGGATGGCCTGAACCTTGGCAAATATGGTTACGCGGTCAACGTGAGCGCCATCATCTCGGCCGTCGACCCGAACAAGTGTGACACACCTCTGCTGGATTGGTGCCTTCGGAAAGGGCACTGGCTACCAGAGGATTACAGCAAGAAGTGTGTCCGGGCACGAGAAGCCCAGAAGAACTTGGACGAGGAGTTCCGTCGACGCACTCACAGACTGTCCATTGGGGACAGGTATGCGTAGTGAAGATGCTGATTGCGGCACGATGTGGGTTAGTCCCCATCTGTTGCTTGCGTCTCATCAACACCATTGCGATGGAACGACTTTGCATCATGATATGATTTCATGTATCCAAGTTGAATGGATGTGTACATGGTTACATATTCCGACGACTATGACATTCTGGATATTCATGGATGGGACTATTACCTAATGGATGATTTCCTTTTCATTATTTATACATTGACCATGGTATCTGGATTGGCTATGATTTGCATTGATTGCTCACCGATGTTTCTTTGCCGGAGACATGCAGATTGCTTACGAGCAGGCGCCTCTGGTGGACTCTTATGGCCATCCCATTTTCTATGGATGACAGCTGCGCGATGCGCAAATGCGGCAGCTGGGATGTTCACTGGTGGTCAAATGACGTGACGATTGTGTATTGTATACACCTGCATATGGGAGTGCGCTTCGATTGGTGGATGAATGTTTCACTTTTCTACAATCGAACCCGGCATGTTTCACAACGAATGAACGGTGTAGCGATAGCAAGTAAAAGAATGCACGACACGATTTTGTAGCTGAAGCCGTGGCCAGTGGAACGTTTTGTGGTGTTTGGACCGCATGATGAACAATGCGACCCAAATGGGGGATGTTAAAACCCTCTAGGCCCCGTGCCTAAATTGGGAAGCTGTTCTGAGGTCTGTGTTGGTGTTGCTTTCCAGGTTCCATTGATCGCCATTTGGCTCAAGACGCAATTGAGGTTCAAGATCTGATGTGTAGCTGCATTCATACGTGATCGGCATTGAGAGCGGAAAACACTTCGCTTGCGCTGCATTTGTCAGGACCACTGTTGTAACTATCATCCCTTTCCCCTTACAACGTTTACACGGGTTCGGCTATAACGGCATCGTCCGTATACACCTTTCCACGTGGTTGGTATTACAGCTGGAGGGTTCGGTGCATAGCGTCCTACGGGACGTCACCTTGCCGTCTCTTGACAACCCGAATACATGCCATATACCAAACCAGCTCAGCAGTTATGAGTTATACGGCGAGAGATATATATAGTTACATAGATATATGCTTCCCCCTGTCTTGAAATACTCAGGTTTTCGTGCAGAGCTCGAGTTTTTGGTCAGACTGTGGGGACTCTGCACTGAGCTGACAGGACGTGCAACTCCATGCAAAGTCAAACCAAGCAGAAGTTAAGCTCAGCCTTCAAAAGGAGCTCCTAGTTAAACAGCTCGAACGCGAAGTGCACTTAAAGTCACGCTGGAATCTGCGAAGTGCACTTTGGCAGCCCCGGCTCAAAAAGCACAACTTTCAGCACAAGAGTAGTACGCGAAGCATGCTTTGCCAGCTTCAGCGTGCCTGTAACCGCTTTTTGGTTTGATCATTTCTGTTTTATAAGGAAACCCGGCAAACCATCCACTTGGGGGAAAGGAACTCAATCCTCCTTGCAACTGACATCCAAATCAAGCATAAAATTGCTTCATGTCCTTGCGCAGTTGCATGTACATGTTAGTTTTTTTTGTACATAATTCCGTGTACATTCCAACAAAGTGTTTTTAAAATAATCTTGCAAAGCAGCTATCTCAGTTGTGCGTTACATGTCTAATACGACTCAACCCCTGTCAAGAACAAGTATTGATTTTCAAGTATAGGAATACTATGACAGTTAACATGATTCCGAGTTCAAGCGAAATTCAACTTTAACCGGTTGCAGTTTCTTGTGCATTTCAAAAGTCAATTGGAGAACACAGCTATTGTCCTGGCCAATAAAAACTGGAATGAAGAGACATTCAATAAGGGTTATTGTCCTTGTTTATTTCCATGCGGTTTAAACCAAGCAAGAACTGAGCCAAACCAATAGCAGAAACATGTGTTCAAACATAAATCTTCATACATGCGGGACAACTTTGTGTTCAGCCTTCGCTCAGATCATGTTACCCTGGATCGAAGCCCAGCGATTCAAAGTTCAACAGGCATCGTTTTAGAGCATCCTCGATCCTGGCAGTCTTTCTAGACTCCTTAATGTTGTCCCACCTGCATTCAAGATTGAAGATCTCCAGGTTTCGTTTTCTGAGAGTCGTCCAGCCCTCAAGTCCTAAAAAAGCTGTAAAGTTTTCGGACACATGTTTCCCTTATTGGCAAAATGCTCTTCAAAGATGTACTTGGGGCAGTCCAAGATGTGCTAGCACGTGCTAGCACACGTGCTAGCACATCCTGGATTTAAGATTGAAGATGAAGATTCTCAGACCACTTTTCTGCAAATCTTCAAATCCATGATTAGGTGAAACTGATATGTGCTAGCACGTGCCAGAACATCCTGGATTGAGGATTGAAGATTGAAGATTGAATAATCCCAGAGAGAGTTGCGAGAGAATCTTCAATCTTCAATCTTCAATCCAGGACATGCTAGCATGTGCTAGCACATCCTGGATTGCACTAAGTACTGATGCTATCATTTAGGTCTAAAAAATAGTGCATGTTTTGAGCATCATTGTTAGAAGCTACAAAATTGCAGTTCGCACGCATTTGTGCAGCAAACATGTCAATGTTTGAACGAGAGCCTGAGTATTCCAGGTGTGTGTGTGTGTGCCAAATAGCTAGATACATAGAGACGCATGGATACATAGACATGGATACATAGATACAAGGATACATAGATACATGGATACATGGACGCATCTGGACACATGGATAAATGAACACCTATGTACGTGCTTTTGCACCTTGCTTTTTTTAGGGGCCGCGAAGAGTGCCAGCGCCCAACACCCCGCGCCTCCGGCAGGGGGGTGTCCGGTTTCTCGGTTTGCGTTGCAGGCCTTTCATCTGGCGGACATGACCCGTAGCAACGACTTGGACCTCCAGGCGCTTCGGCGCGACTGGCGCGACCGGCGCGGCGGGCGCGACGGGCGCGACTGGCCACGCTCGCCGTCGGTCAGTGCGAGCGGGGGAGCGGGGGAGCGGGAAGCGGACGCCGGATTTTTCTCGCTCGTCTCTGAGGAGTTGGCTTCACCTCCAAAAAATGGATCTGTCAATTTGTTGGTTTTCTGTCAAAGCATCCCAAAAGGGGTGCCCTCATTTTTTTTTGTTTTATGGGCTAGCAACTCAAAAAAAGACGAGCCACCCATGAACATGTGTTGGATGTTGGAGGCGAGGGGTGCTAGTTAATGCCAAAAAGGTCATCACTAGTTTCACTCTTCCCACAGATCACAGCCACTGAATCCATGTCCGACGCTTGGCGTGAAGCTCTGTCGGACTGGCTAATACCCCATGTAGTCGTGGGGGACATGAATTAACAGAAGTTCTTCCGGGTTGATCCGAGCGTCAAAAAGATGATGACACCTCAAAGGTAGACCATCAGTCTGTTTTTCTGTTTGTTGTTTTGCTTTTCCAGGGACTGGAAAACAACAACTAAAGGCCTGGTGCCAAATGTGGTCTGTTGCATACCGTTCGTTCGGCCAGGAGTTTGTGACCTGGTATGCCACCTTCAGCTTCTCAGAGGACATCATTCTGCTCGCTTACTCCATGTGAACTTGGGGCTGGTGCTGCTTTTCCTCGCCCATGGTTTGCCCCGCCCAACTTGGGTTTTTGGGAGGCAGAAAATGGAAGAATCGGATCTCCTCGGTTACTCGCCAGGAGCTCCACCCAACTTGAGCCACAATCAAAACCCGGGTAGTCCCAGCCGGAAATAGCTGCGGCCGCCTTTTAATTCCCTTTGGCTTTGGGCAGACCATTTTGCTGCCAGGTTTTGACTATGACTCACTTGGTGTTTGGGAGGCGCTTGTTCGGAGAATGGACTCGGAGCTCAGGAGCTGCTCTTGGGGAAGTCCACTAAGTCCATCCGCGACGCCCGGGGGCTCAAGCGGGGCCACAGGCTTCGCCGCTTCGCCGCGCCGGGGCATTTGGCAGGAGGTTTCCGGGGGTGAGGGCGTGGTTGTGGGTCTCCGAAGAAATGGGTGGCTCGTATCTCCTTTTTTGGGAACGCTTTGTTGGATTGTAGAGGGAAGGCGAAAGGAGGCCGCGCGTTGGATTTTTGTGTTTTTCTCCTCTTTTGGGAAGCACCCAAATTTGGTTTGCTGCACCGGGCCTTGGCAAAAGGGAAGTCCTCGTGGCAAAGGGTCTGTGGAGGTCCATGATTGGCGGAGTGTCGAACTTGGAACCTGGGGCCTTTGTCCCTTGACACGGCCACTGAAAGGCTGGCGTTGAGAACACCTCTTTGGGTGAAGCGACATAGCCTTGGACTTTTTGGGTGGCACATGGTGTGTTATCAGCTGCCAGGGGGCCCACAACAGGGGGGGGGTGGGGCCCTCCGAAGCGATCAACCCCTAAAGGGGACACCCCCCATCTCTGAGAATCGACCAGGGGTTTATGAATATGTCGGCTTCCCATGAACCCTGCTGCTGCTTCTCACAGACCAGCGCTGGGTGAAGGGAGATTTCACGCCGGCTCTCAGGGAATGAGGAGTGGAATGCGCCTACGAACAATCCCACTGCATGGACCCCCTAAAGCCTTTAGGGGGGTGGCTTCTGGATTCGCCTGGGATAAGCCCAACCCGGCCTCAAGGGCTTGGGGTCCACTGGCAGTTCATCTTTTTCCGGTTCATTCCCTCGCGCGACGCGACGCCTCTTGTGAGGTGGCCCGAAGGTTGGGCATCAACCTGCTGGACATCGAGCGCTACAAGCGGGTCTTCGATAGCTTCGACCAGGACAAGAGCGGGGTCATCGAGCCGGGGGCCCGGCCAGTTTGCCAGTTTCAGCGGGGCAGCTGGTGGCGGACTGTTTTTTGGGGTGGATTCTCCGCCCGAGGCCTCGGTACTTTGAAAGGCTTGGAGGTGGATTTCGTGGCGGGTGGTCGAAAATGTATCCCTACCTCCCAACAAATGGATGCTGAAGATTGACTGGGCTGAAGAACTCCCTGGCTCGTTTGAGTGGAGCAGATAGCCTTCGTTTTTTGGGGGGTTTACGGGACGAATCATGCTTGGTTTGTAAGTGAGTTGATAGATTAGGACACATTTTGTTGCAAAGCGTGGCACTTCCTTGTTTGTTGGAAGGATGATGTTTGTCTTGTTAAGGACTTCTCTCCAAAAGAAGCTGCTTCGCTTTCTTCCTGTGTCTTCTTCAAACCAAACCAGCCTACAGAAGAGCAGGAAGCATGCTTGTTCATGCATTTATCGCAGGTTCTGGTTGCGTCAGGCTACTCGTTAAGAACCTAGAAATTTGTTCGGCTGTACCACTCTGCATGTGTTGTCCAGGCAGAAGCGTCATGGATGAGCACAAGTCAGTTGGTCACTTTTGTTTATGAGGGCAACCACGTATCCCTGGAGTTGAGCACTGATTATGTATTAAATACTCGTTTCAGACACATATTGCATATTTGGGCCTCTATTTCTACCCCGTGCGTGACAAGTACCCATATTCAAACTTCAAAGGAGCAGATGAGGGGTACATGAGGGGAATGAGCTGATATAAGGCTTGAGTGTCATACTTTGGGCTTTGTGAAAATAACTCTTCGAACGTCGGCAGGGGTATTTGACCCGTGTCTTAACGCCATGGGATTCCTCGATTTGGGCACTAAGGATGCCGGAATTCCGGATGATGCTGCACAGGCTGCTGAAGGCCGAACGTTTGGCCGAGCCACGGCTTCGGCCCCTTTTTTTTTTTTTCCGATGACGTTTGACAGAAGCACCTCGTTTTGTTATGCCCTTGCCACCGGATGGAGTTGCTCGGGAGGAGGCATGTCGATCTTTTGGGTGGGAGGTGGGTCAGCGTGCGGCACATGGCACTTCTAGATCGGATCTGCCAAAGCCTATCAGCTTGTTGGTAGGGGCAGAGCTGGCTGGGCACAAGTGCTTTTGCCAGCTGCAGGTCGGTTGAGTATGGCAGGCCATTTCAACTTCTTGTTTTTTTTTTTGAATCTGTTTTGGTTGGTCTTTCATCGGATGGTCAGCAATCTTGGGCGTGTCTTTTCGGTCTCTTTGGCACTCCCATAAGCACTTCAAGCTGGAGCTTCTCTTGGTGCCACATTTTCTTGGCCCCTGACCCAGTTTTCTCATGACATACGCGATCCGCCTCTTCCACGGCGGCCGTGCCCGCGCTAGGTGCCGAACGGCCACCACCTGCCGGTGAGTCAGGTGAAGAGCTTCTGGAACATGGCGGACAGCGCCTCGTTGAGCAAGCAACGGGACCCCTCGATACTTCCTTTGGCAACCGGATGGGTTTTCGTCACCCTCGACAGAAACGGAGCGTTGTTGGATCCAATGAAAGGATTGGAGTAACACACCAGCAGTTTTGTACATGTGTGTGTGTGTGGCGATGTAGTAAATACAGGGTATGGATCTAGGTATGTATGATTGTCTATGTATGCGCAAGCATGCGTGCCAAAAAAAACACATGCAACCAGCGGGTGGTTTTTTGGGTGTCGTGTTTCGGCTCTTGGGTCAGCAATCTTGGCGCCTTTGGAAAGAAATTTAAGTTTGGGGTAGTCCTAAGTGCGAATCTTGCATTCCTCTTGTCAGCCACGGCGCAGGAAAGATGTGACGGCAAACAAAGCCCCGAATGGTCAACCTTTGGGGATCCAACAAAGCTTGAATGAGTTTTGGCATGGCGCAGTTTGCCCATCCATTTGATTCCGGGGGTCCCAGTGCGAATCAGTGATTTTACAAGCAGATGGGACAGCGGGGTTGCCCCTAGAAGGAACACAATGATAACGGAGAAATGGCTCACTGTCGCACTTGCGGCAGAAGCACTTCAGAGAGCCAGGGAGATCATCGCACCCTTTGACTCAAAGTGAGCTCTTTTTTGAGGGGACTCCCCCAGATGGTGGTTTTCCTTTTGGCTTTCCTTTGAAAAACAAGAGTAGCCTCAAAAAAAGACGAGCCACCCACAAAGGGAGAGCTTGTCGTGTACCCTGTTTTTGGGTGTACCACAAACGTTGGTTGCCTTGCTGACCCCACCCCCCTTTTAGGCCGGCTGTATGAGGATCCATACAACTGTCTCACTGTGGATGCACGAAATCCTGCACCACCTACGAACGCTGGAATGATGATTCTCCTGTAAATAGCACAAACAATGGCTTCAAGCATAGTTTCTTAGATGGTGCGAAATGGATTTCGCAACCATCCACAGTCCGAGCTGAAGCTCAGGTGATGGCAATGGCAAAATCGACTTCCCCGAGTTCTGCGAGTTCTACCTGACGCTTGGCCGGACGGACTCCGATGGTCTCTGCTTGCTTCTCTTCATTCAGCGGAACCCATCTGGATTTGTTTTTTGTGTTGGGGGAGCTGTCAAAAAGTGGCAAGGTTCCTTTTGGTTTCCCTTTAGCCCAACCAAGATTGGATGCCCTCGAGAAAAGACACACTCGTCTATTTCTCCAAATTTGGACGGCAGGGGTCGATGCCTATCCGGACAGACATTTGTACAGGGAGTGGGATGCACCCTCACACGCCTGTGGCTCCAAAATGTTGTACCCAAAACGTTATATGAAACCAAAGATTACAGTGTGTGGAACCCGAGCTCTTTCATTTTGAGCCATACACACCGAAGTGTGACTGGGCACATGGGACCTATGCACTCACCAAACTCTGCCACTGTGCCAGTTCATGACCAGAACTTGACTCAAGAGGTACGCGTCGTCGATGTGAGCAGGCTTGAGCCCAAGAATGGCAACCTTTTTGGGTGTCCCTTTAAAGCAATCCCAAGTTTGGTGCTCTCAAAGACAAAGGAATTGGTTCCCCGCGGCTTGGGCAAGGAGTGCTCGGTTGCCCATGAATCGCTCTTGGACCCAGCCATCTCTGGAAGGGCTTGATCCAACGTCGGCAAGCGCTTGATCCAGTCCACAGAAATGTGGGTCTAATCTGAGCAGGGAGAACTGCCAACCCTTGCGGGTCGTGTTTTGTCTCACATCAACCAACAGCCACCTCGCCGGCCGAAGCCGAGACCCGAGACCGAGAAACCGCGGGGCCCCAGGCGCGTCTTCAGCCGGCCGGGGGAGGACTTCCAGCTCAGCGACATGTATAGCATCCGAAAGGTCTCGGTGAAGCGCTCCGTGTGACCGAAATTGGACGCGACGGGCTTCAGGTGTCGAGCTCCTGAGAGAGAGCTCAGCCCACGGCAGTGGAGCAAAGAGCTGGCCTCGTTGCGTGCTGAGTGTGTTGCTTAGGACATCCCCTTGAAATTTTGGTCTCTTGCAACGCCTGGAGTTCTGGAAGAAGAGCTTGTAGCCTGTTGCTGATCAAGTTGCATTGGGCCTCGGAGCAGAGCACAGAGCAGGAGGCATTCACACATCGCCAGCTTGGAATCTTGGCGAGTAGCTGCATGTCTGGTCGACCCTGAGGGGCGACAAGTAAGCAAGACCGGACCCTTGAATGACTGTGCAGCAGCAACCACCGATGACGCCTAGCAAGTCAAGCCCCCAATCAGAAGTCTTTCGAGGAATCAATCGCCGCCTGGCACACGGTTAGAATGCTGGAGCATAGCACTCAGGCACGCACTAGCGCGCACACGCACATGCGCACGTACTCACCTTGCCAACCGCCACAATTGCAATGATAGTAGAGTCGGTTCTATAGATTCTATTGTGGTGGTCTTCCTCAACATGAATCCATGTTGACATTCAACATATGTATATGATTGTGGTGAAGACCAAGCGAGTTAAGAACAAGGCCAGTTGACTATTGACATCAATGCCAAGCGTTCAGGCCTTGTCATCAGGGCGTTCATTTCAATTGGATCGAATGTTGATTTGCTTCCAGTGATTTTACGTCGTTCGGTGTCTGGTCTTGCTTAGTTCCGGAGGGCGTGCCTCCAGGGGTCTGACTTTGGCCTCCTTAGGAGCCGGAGTTTTGACGACTCGCGAACCAGCAAAGGGGCTGTCCTTTCAGTGAATTCACACAGTCGTTCAGCTGCCTTTGACTCTGTGTCTACTTCAGTTTGGGCAAATCCCATTTGGGCTGAAATTATCCAGGTGCAAGCCAATCCATAACGGATCTCCGTCGGGTTTCATGTCTGCCCGACCTCGGGCGTGTGCACGCCGCCAGCTTGTCACGGAGCCTGACTTCAGTGGTCAGGCGGTGACCAGTGCAGGCGGTTTTGGCTTTTGACGTCGGCCGACGCTTTGGAGGTATCGACACAGTGAGGTAAGAAAAACACATGTTTTTGTTTCTATGGGGCACGGCTGCAAAAATGCCCGAGGTTTCGCGTGTTTCGCTTGATTGCCAAGAGGAAGTTGGCCGAAAAGGATGTTCCAGAGAGAGCGGAGGCGCCCGGCTTGAGCACTTTTGTGGCATACCCTGGGTCAACTCTTTCGCAGCAAAGGGGGACCCCGCAACTGACGGACGAATTTCCATACTCGTGTTGCAGCATTTTCTGACTCTAGCCGGGGACCCGGAGGTCGCTAGTTTGATGTTCTTGTAGGAGTCCCCAGGAGTTTTGTCACACGCCCAAGCTCAACTTGCGACGTATCACAGCCTCCCCCCGCCCCCCGCCCCCCCGACATAAGACCCCAACAAGGTCTCATCAAGGGGCTTGTTCGGGGGACAGATCAATTGGAGCTTTCTGAGCTGGCTCGGAGAGTTCACGTGGCAAGTGTTTCGACGCATGCAATCGCTGGGTGATCTGGGAACATTGCAACACTTGGGGGTGACACCGTGACCTTTCTGGCGGGGTGGATCTCCGGAGCCATTGCTGTGTACGTCCAGGGGCCTTTGTTTGGAAGGGAGGGCCTCATTCTTGGAGGTGCAGCAGGTCGGCCGGCCATCTAGAAGGCTCCCTTCAAATATATCCTGTCATTTGCTGGCCTTCTTGCCCACAATATCACCTTGGACATGGGCAGGCCTTGATTTAAATCATAGTGTTCCAAAACTCTCCGATCGTCAGCTTCTATGATTGGAGGCATGTAGAGAAAAACCAGGCTGCGGGTGCTATGTGTGGCTGCATATCCATCCAAAAATATGATGTGGGTTCTGAGGCTCGGGGCAAGGACCTAAGGATGGATGAGGGTTCTGAGGCAGGGAATGTAACTTGAGCCCAAAGACCCCGCTGCCTTAGGCAGCGGGGTTGCGACATGGGGATCCCTTTCTTTTTGAAGCCTCACATGAGTCACGTGCTCAACACCCGGGCACTTGGAGGGTAATGGGCAATCCCAGCCGTCAATATGGGTGCGGATATCCGCCTTGTCAATTCTTTACATGCTTCTGAGTAGCGTCAGTAGAGTCGACCATTATGATACCGGGTTTTGGTTTTGACTCACATGGAGTTTCCATCCGCCCGTGTTTCCATTGGGAGGGGCGCTGCGACCTAAGCTCGTACTCGCTGCGCGCAAACCGCTTCGGCTGAAGCTTGAGTCAAGTGGCTGTGGCGAGGGGAGGGCTGGCGCGCAGGGAGGCGCTCCGGACAGAGCCTGGGATGGACTTGCGCGTGTCCACTTTTCAAAGCTTGAACTTTTTCAACATGGCGGTGGTCCGTTTGGTGACCCTTTTAAAACACCCCCCAAAAGGCTGCCAGCTCAAAACGGTCCTTTTTGTTTCCCTTCTTTTCCACCCTCCCAAATTTTGGTGCACAAAAAACAGCAGACAGGGCCACTTTCTTTGAGACGGCGCAGCTTCTGGAGGTCTTGGCCCTGGGATGGGTCGCTATGCTCGCAGGTAGAAGCGAATGGGAGTAGATGTGCGAGCGCATTGCACGTGTTCACGCGGATTGATCCAAGCATGAAGAAGCACCACGAAACCGATATGCACCAACCTATGCGAATAAATCGATCCACTAAACCGATCCAACCATGAAGATCCAAACTTGTCCAACCTGTAAACCAAGCGACCAGCTCAGCGTAAGTTGACTTTTCGCAGGTCTGTGGGATGAAGTCCAAGCTGACGGCAAGGCGGGGGTCGGGCAGGCTTCAGATTTGGCCAGGGAGCGAGCTGTTCTATGTGAGACATGATCAAGAAGAGGCCTTTTCAGATGCTCTTGTCAATGGGGGGGGGTAAATGGAAATCACCAGAAACACCTGTGCGCCATATTGGATTTGGTCAAACCTGAAAAAAGACGAGCCAAAAGCCAAGGCCCAAGCCGACGCCACCGCCGCACGCCGCAGGCAGGCGCTGCTTTGCCCCAAGCCCGGGCGCCTGCTGCTGAAGAAGCCGGCGGCCTCAGGCCTCAGGGTCGCGAGCGAAGAGTTTTGGCTGATTTGGGTACACTCTCCGGTGAAAGTGGGTGCGTTTGCGTCCAACTTCGTGTGCCATGCAGGGTAGTGATTCAGGAAGTCGGTGTGGCTTGCGTCCCGGTGGGCGTTGAAGTTGAATTCCATGCGGCAAGATTTTGTGTGAGCAGACATCTTGTTGTCATACCATTGGGATTTGAGCGAACTTTGGAAGCGGACTGGAGGCAGTGTTTTTGGAAAGTGCCGGTTTTGAGCGCGGCGTTGCACCCAACTCTAGAAGGCGCTGTCGAATGTTAAGGGCCACTCCCGTCACACGCAATGGCACGTTGCCTCTGGGACTGAGCGCCAAGTCAGCTAAACACATGGGAGTTGGGCTCTCCTTGTGCAACTTTGTTCAACTTTGTATGGGTGAAAATTAAACCACCAGGGGACTACAGGTTTGGTCCATGTTTCCACTTGCCAGGGTTCCATTGAGGGTACCCTTGTTGGTTGGGAGTTGGTCGCGCCCGATTGCTGCTGAAAAGATAGTGCCAGGGGCGGAAGAATTAACCTGATTTTCTCAGGGGCATGACTGTTTTGTGGTTTTCTAGTTCCCTTAAATTCCAGTTTGGCGGTTTGAAGCATGAGAACAGAGGCGTCGGAGGTGTCACAAAGTGAATCGTGGTGTTGCGCGCGGTTGACGTGGATTGCCTCGGCGCTATGCGGAGGGCTGGCCATCCACCATTTTGTTCAGGTCGATAGTCAGAGAAGCCCGAAGGTTCCACCAACCTGTGGGGAGTGGGGGGTTGGGCCTTTGGTTTGCCTAGCCACGAGCCCTTATGGAGAACGCCAAACTTGTACAAAGATGGGGCGGCAATTGACAAGAGTCCCAACTCTACCATTCCAACGAGTTCCCTTTTTGGTTCGAGGTTTAATGATTCAGGCAACCCTTAGTTGCTGGTTTGGATTGGTGGGTACTTTTGGGGATTTGAACACCTGATATTTTTTTGATGGCGGGTAGGCGGGCAATCCCCATTTCAGGCGACTGGGCCGAACGCCAGCGAATCAGAGTTTGTTGGGAGTGGTTGAGACGGCTCCGTTGTGTCAAGCACTACCCTCCCAAAAACAGTAGATATACACTACATGCATATACACATATATGGTGTATTTACAAAGAAACATACTTACATATGGAACCTGGCTCATGTCTTCCATGGCAGTTGGACGGTTGTCAAATTCATGAACCCGAAATTAACCAGGAAGGATTGCAGGCCTAAGTAAGCCTTGCCGAGGATGGATCACAAGAATGGTCTTATTTTCCGCGAACCTACAGTACGAGGATCGCAAACCCTCTTCCGGGTTCCGTGTTTGCTTCCGGGGGGGCAGTCGTTTGAGTACGCCGTCGCTAGCGAGCACCCAACGCTTGAGTGGCCCATGATTGCTGGCCTGGTAGACGTCCCGTGGAGGTGATTGTGAAAGTCACCTTTTGTTTGCCTGGTTCAAACGGGTTTATCAAGCTATGCATGAACTTAACAGTGTGCCTTGTTTGCCTTTCTTGCGGGGATGAGGGGCATGCAGGGAACCCCATCGAGCAGTTGTCCTTGTGCCATTGCGAGTGGTGTTGAGACCAACTCTCTTCTTGAAACCAGCTCTTCCTTTCTCCCCCGACTCTGTTTTCGTCTTTCTCTTTCTCTTTCTCTGTCTCCTTACCTCTTAAAAACACAACTTTTCAACTTTTTGGGTAACATGGGCTATATGTCTGTAAAAGGTTAACTTTCCCAGGGCTTGGAGTTTTAAGGGGTAAGTCTCTGTCTATATCTTTC